ACCGGGCTTCGCTTGCCAAAGAGCTCACTCAATGTATAACCATTAACACAATTATTTAAGATGTGATAATTATTGGATTGAACTTTTAATTTTTATGTAAAAAAATTACGTCTTCCACACAGTGTTATGGCGCCATTTTAAAATGCGTTCGATTTTCAATCCCAATTCATATTTTGATTTGTAAATTGCATACATATATTTTTGTTATAATGTGGTAAAAGGAGCCGCATTTCACTGAGTTTGTCTCATAGCACTAATCATGCTAAAGTAAACACAGATTAGCACATCCACCAAGAAAGGTATTTAATTGCTTTGAAGTAACTCAAGTTAATTATTATGTGTGGCCGGATTAGAGGAAATAATTATCGTTAATTATGAGCAGTTGGGACCAGTATGGCCGTTTGGATTACAGAATAGACAGTATCCGGACTACACAGAATTTTTTCTAATAATTTGTTAAAGAATTGCATGGGACTAAAATTTATAGACGAAATGGACAAAAATCCGGAGTACTGAGAGTCCGGATTAGACAAATTTTACTGTATAATCATTTGTAAGGTGGGGGGGGGGGGGTATCATTTAGTGAGCTCAGTGCTCACAGTACCTCTAGTTAGATAACTATAATTTTACAATTTGCATATCAGAACAAGTATCATAGGTTTTGTAGTACATTAAACTCCAAGTATTTCATTAAAGGACAAATGTACTTTTTCCCACAAGTCCCCGCCAGTACAAATTTCATGGAATCACAATTCCTGTCCAATCAGAGAGTGGAAAAAAATTCTCAGACTGCCTCTTTATGCAATAAATATACTTTTTAAAAGAACATCCTCCTTCACTCAAAATTTGACCTTTTAACCTTGCTGAGGTCTGTCATGACAAAATCTGAGGTAATATTAACACTTTTCCCACTGGCTAGACCTGTTTTTTTTGAGATTTTTATTTTTTTGAAAACCCTTCAGCTGTAGGATCATTAAAGAATTTACAAATAATTTAAATGAATATTACAGAAATATTGGACAGCAAATTCACAGAAAATGCACATGTCAAACAAGATGTGTTTGTGAAACACTGATGCCCCCATATGGCAACATAGCAAAGATTAAACTTTTCTTAAATGCAAATTAAATATACTGGTACACAAAGTAGGGTCTTCTCAAAAGAAATACAATTTTGAAATATGAAAGCCCTAGCACCACCTGTTTAAAAGTTATGGACAAGGAGAAGATTTGATAAGTAGGTTAACCTCCAAGGTCAAAGAGTAATTAAGTTGTTGGTTTCTTAAGAAAGGTCTAATGTCACAAGGATTACATATGTGAAGTATGAAAGCCCTAGTCCTAGCTGTTCAAAAGTTATGGCCAGGTTAAAGTTTTTAAAAAGTAGGTCAAACTTCAAATTCAAGGTCAAAGTTCTTGATATCAAATCAAAGGTCTTAATTCTTACAAGAATTAGTTATGTAAAGTACAAAAGCCCTAACCCTTCAAAAGTGATGGTCAAGGTTTGTTTTTTTAAAATAGGTCAAACTCCAAGGTCAAGGTCAAATTCTTGGTATCCAATGAAGGGACTTCTCACAAGAATTACATACGGTATGTGAAGTATGAAAGTTCTAGCCCTTATTTTTCAAAAGTTATGGCCAAGGTTAAAATTTTTGCATAAGTCCAGAAATCTCCAAGGTCAAGGTCAAAAGGTCAAAGTTGTTGGTATCCAAAGAAAGGTCTTGCCACAAAGAATACATATGTGAAGTATGAAAGTCATAGTAACTATCATTCAAAAGTTATAGCCAAAGTAAAAGTTTGGAATTTTTTTAATAAAAGTGGGTAAACCTCCAAGGTCAGGGTCAAAATTAGGGAATAACTATCTTCTAATTTGGTATTTGCGACCGTTAATGCTGTATCCAATAACTTTTACCGGCGACGCGCAAGCGGAGTCTTGCCAGTTCTAAACTTTTTGCGACCGTTAAATTAATTAATATACCAAATTAGAAGATCAGTTATTCCCATTCTAATGCAATCCATGCATTTTGTTTGTTGTTTACGTCTTATTTTGATGAATTTTGTTACAAGAAATATGTCATGGAGCATTGTGTTTTGCGTCGCTCTATTATGACGTCACAATGAAAAAGCTTTCACGCTCGTTAATGCTCGTTTTACTGCTTCAAACATCAGTGCATTAGCCAATCAAAAAGTGTTTTACAAAACAATTGCATTAGAATGTCAAATTTGGTGATACTCAAAGAAAGGTCTTGTCACAAGGAATATAATGTGAAATATGAAAGTCATAGCTCTACTAAATCAAAAGTTATGGGCAAGGTTAAAGTTTTTGCATACAAACAGACAGCTAAACAGCTAGACAGACGGACGGACACAGCAAAAACTATATACCCCCAAATCTTCAATTATGGGGGCATAAAAAGAAAGCCATATCTCTTCTCAATCAAAAGTTATAAAGAAAAAATTAACATTTTTGAAAATTAGTTAAAGATATATATGCCGTATTAGTGTTTTATATAAAAAGAAATATATATATATATATGGTGTCTCATCAAGTTATATAAGTTATATACTTTCTGCAAATAAGACAATTCCACTCCATCACTTTTAAAAGTTATGAAATATTATTTGGTAAAAATTATTTTCTCTCCGAATCGGATAATAAACCGCCTCTTATTGAAATATTCATGATCACGTGGTCTCGCATTCACATCAAACAATGGTCCAATCTCGTGAATGAACCGAAAGCATGATGGTCTACTACGTTTTTACTACAAACACGGGAGTTAGGGATTGTCAATACGTGAGCACACTTCAGTGTTGGTTGCTTTTTGTACCGAGGAATAACCACGTGCAATTGTCTTTTCACTAGCAGTACAGCATGGGGAAACTCTAAACAAACGGACCTGTACAATGGAGTGGGGAAAACTTTAATTTTTATCATTGTTAATATTTTGTATGCAAATAATATTATGAGCATGGGATTAGTAGATAATGATGTACATAATGCATTAAGCGTGTAAATGCTTAGGAAAATGCATCAAGTCTTTCCGAGAGCGATTTTAAAAAAACTAGCTTTTTCGAAAAACACATGTAGTATTTTATGTAGTAACCCATGAATGCATTTAATGCAACTCATTGAGCTGATTGGTCGATTTGTCAGTTATATTGGTTTCTCGCTGAACAGACGTCACAAAAAAAATTCCTTGACCTGATGATTCTCGCGATGCTTTTCCCGCGCACATGCGCAGATCCAGGATAAACGTCAGCCCTTTATAAATATGCATGAGAATATCGTGTTCTTTTCCCGACCGGTACTTTGTTAATACCGAATAATATTTCGTCGAATTTGCAAGAATGCTTCATTTTTGATAGCTTATCATACTTCAGAAATTTTTGTTCGGTTTCAGCTGTGCAAAAATACTGTTTAACACGGCATACATATCTTTAAAATTCAAGGATAAGGTCACTAGTTTAAAAATCATAGTGCATTTAGAAATTAAGATCTTGTCACAAGCAATACACAGATTCAATACAAAAGCCCTGTTTTCTCATTCAAAAGTCATGAGCAAGGTAAAAGTTCTTGAAAAGAAGGTCAAATTTTGAGGTCAAGGTCATGGGGTCAAAATTCATAGTGTATTTCATAAGGTCACGGGGTCAAAAATCATAGTGTATTTTATGTTAGAAAGGTCTTGTCACAGATACTACATATCATCAGTATATGAAAGCCAAGGTCAAGGGGTCAAAATCATAATGTTTTTAGAAAGGTCTTGCCACAGGCAATACACAGACCTAATAAGAAAGCCCTATCTCTTCTCATTTGAACGTAATGACCAAGGCTTTTTTTAAAAGTATGTCAAACTTCAAGATCAAGGTCACAAGGTCAAAAATCATAGTGTATTTAGAAAGGTCTTGTCACAGGTAATACTCATATTTACTATGAAAGCCCTATCTCTTCTCATTCAAAAGTTATGGCAAATTCAATGTAATGTCTAATTTTTTTTAAAGTAGGTCAAACTTTTAAAGTCAACTGAAGGTCATGGGATCAAAAATCATAATTTGTATTTAGAAAGATCTTGTTACAGGTAATATACACGTGCGTTATGAAAGCCATATCTGTTCTCATTCAAAAGATATGACCAAGGGTCAAGTTTTTGTAACAAACAAACAGAACTACAGACTGACAGACTTACAAACTGACAGATGGATGAGATTAATTGTTCCCACATGAAACCCACGCTTTCGCGAAAATCATTGACTGAGCTAAATACAAATGTTCCAGCAAACTGTCAGTGTGAGGGTCCCGCTATAATAGACATTATCTGAGTTTACCTCCATACTGTCAGTGTAAGGGTCCTGCTATAATAGACATTAACTGAGTTTACCTCTATACTGTCAGTGTAAGGGTCCCGCTATAATAGACATTATCTGAGTTTACCTCCATACTATCAGTGTGAGGGTCCTGCTATAATAGACATTATCTGAGTTTACCTCCATACTGTCAGTGTGAGGGTCCTGCTATAATAGACATTAACTGAGTTTACCAGCATACTGTCAGTGTGAGGGTCCTGCTATAATAGACATTAACTGAGTTTACCTCCATACTGTCAGTGTAAGGGTCCCGCTATAATAGACATTACCTGAGTTTACCTCCATACTATCAGTGTGAGGGTCCTGCTATAATAGACATTAACTGAGTTTACCAGCATACTATCAGTGTGAGGGTCCTGCTATAATAGACATTAACTGAGTTTACCAGCATACTGTCAGTGTGAGGGTCCTGCTATAATAGACATTATCAGTTTACATACTGTCAGTGTGAGGGTCCTTATAATAGACATTATCTGAGTTTACCAGCATACTATCAGTGTGAGGGTCCTGCTATAATAGACATTAACTGAGTTTACCTCCATACTGTCAGTGTAAGGGTCCTGCTATAATAGACATTAACTGAGTTTACCTCCATACTGTCAGTGTGAGGGTCCTGCTATAACAGACAATTAAGCTTACCTCCATACTGTAAGAGTGAGGGTCCTGAACGCATCTTTAATCAGCTGTTCCCCCTCATACAGGGACTCTGGGGCTACACCATTCACAGCTAGGATACAGTCCCCTTCATACAGACAACCTTGAGCTTTACCCTCAGGATCAACCTAAAATATCAAATTATTTCATAGAGTAGAGATATCCTTGACCTTTATCCTCAGGATAAACATATAACATGTTTCTTATATGACCTTTACCCTCACCATCAACCTCCAGTATGAGATTATTTCAGTGGGAAATATAAACCTTGACCTTCATCCTTTCAGTTCACCTTTAATCTTTTGTATATCTATACTTTCATTGTTTTCATTTGAAGTATTTGACTGTTTGATACAGAGCAGATAGAACTCTCTCTTTGGATTAAATGTGGGGCAGGGTTCAAAATGGACTTGAACTTTCTCTCCCTTATCGCTCACTCTTAATATTCCCACCAATAAAGTGTTTAATATGTACTCTCAAGTTGAATTTATAATTATTTTAATGAATTTCTCACATCTTACACAAAATATATTCATAAAAAGATCACTCACAAACAAACAAACCAAATTACCCTTCTTTTCCATTGGATATGATATGCTATAAGGAATATGTTTTAAACAAGAGGCCCATGGGCCTTATAGGTCACCTGAGCATTATTCAACAACTTTCCAGTGATTGAATTTGATCCATGTTTTAAGCCAGATGCTATAGCATTTACAATTTGGTAATCATAACTATACACTTAGCAGTTCCTTAGTTTGGTTACTTAATACCCATAGGCAGGGTAGGGGAACAAAAAATGCATTTCAACAAATCAGTAATATTCAGCAATAATCAGTAGTGCCGCTACCACACATGAATCCTTGACTCTTAGGCTTTGATCCACACATTGCACAATTTTTGGAAAGGCATCCTTGCTTTTCAAAAAAAAATTTGATTAATACCAAGGAGCAAATTTCAAACAATTCATTCATTTTCAGTATGTAAGTACACCCCCCCCCTTCTATGTTACCCTGACCCTGGGGCCTTGAAATCCACAATTCTGGAAGATTAGGTCCCTTGCTCATAACTATATAGGTAGTACATCTGCTTAAAACCTAGGAGAGAGAGATTTAATGTTTTTTCACTATACATGTAATAATCAATACAGCCCCCCCCCCCCAACACCAGAATCCCTGACCCTGGGGCCATAAAATTCACAATTTTGGTAGAGGCACTCTTGCTTATCATAACTATGTACTTAGTTAGTTTATTTAATACCCAGAAGCAGAGAAATAGATTTTCAAAGAAATAATGTATTTTCACTATATAATCAATAGAGCCCCGCCCTAACACCAGAACCCCTGACCCTGGGGCCATAAAATTCACAATTTTGGTAGAGGCACTCTTGCTCATCATAACTATGTACTTAGTTAGTTTATTTAATACCCAGGAGCAGAGAAGAAGATTTTTAAAGAAATAATGCATTTTCACTATATACTTATTTAGCCCCGCCCTAGCACAAGTACCCCTGACCCCAGGGCCATGAATTTCACAATTTTGGTAAAGGACTCAATGCTGATTACAATCATGCATACAGTTTGACTGCTTGATGTCCAGGTGTAAAGAAGAAGATTTTTAAAGATTGCATTAATTTTAGTGGTTTTGGCCCCACCCCACAGGCCCCAGGGGGGCAGGGATCATGAAATTCACGATTTTTGTTCCCCTTCACCCATAGATGCTTTGTGCCAAATTTTGGTTAAAATTTGTTCAGTGGTTGCAGAGAAGAAACTGAAAATGTTCAAAAGTTTACAACCCATTGACGACGAACGACATACGACGAGGGACGAAAACAGCAATAGGTCACCTGAGTGACTCAGGTGACCTAAAAAATCCCCAAAAATTTATTTATAAATTAAATCTTATGGAAAAAAAAGCTATACTCCTTCTCTTGAAATGAAATTTTGTTTTAAATGCATTATTTCAAAACAAGGGGATTTATCTACTTTTCATAGCCTTTTCAAGGTAATCTCTGCAAATCAATGACTTAAAACTCAGTAATGTGAAAATCACAGACCCAAGCACATTAAAACTTCAAAATAAAAAACAGTCAAGGTAGCAGAAATTTAAGATACATATACAATGTCTGTTGTAAAGAAAACTCCACAAAAACCTAGATACGGGCATTATTATGTAAGTGAGCTACTTAAGAAATGGGATAAAATGCCGGGGGAGCAATCACAGTGCTCGGGAGAACTTCTGTCTATAGTTTGTTCTCCATTGTGCCGGTCTCTCAGGGTTCTAGTGACATAGCTCATTAGTCATTTCCTCTCTTTTGGCTGTCACATATATTTACACGATTTCTCAGCTTAAATCAATAAAACCTCATAATTGACAAACTCCAAAAGGGCCTTAGATACTAAATAGAGAGAAAGAAAAGAGAGAGAGAGAGTCTTAACACTAAACTCAATTAGAGGGACCACAAAGAATGAAATCAACCCAAACTACCCTTCTTCACAATCGACTATTATGAATATGATATTCATAACTTAATCTTATAAAAAAGAAGGAGGTGTTGAACATAAGATCAGGCTGAGTGTTGTCACCACGAAGTAAACCAGGATTGTTTGTTAATGTATTCAAGTGAACATTATATCCAAATAAAAAACTTGAAAAGAGGTTCATGCATGGTGTCGTACCAGTGGGAATAATTTGGGTTACACAATATGAAAAATCTACACAACTTTTTCTTTGCTTATTTTGGCTACAATAGAATTTATACCTTAAATGTAGGATAAAGTGCCAATCAAAGGCTCTTTAATTAGAAAACAGAGATTAGTTTCATGAGGGATAAAGGAGCTAATTAAAAAAGCCATCTTTTCTTGAAATACTTTTTAACAATTTATTTTGTCCCATCTAATATGGTTCTGTCATTATTACTGCTGAACAGGTATTTTTCCTTGACATGAGAGTTTGACCTAATCCCAAAAAAGAGTTTAACCTTGGACATAAGTTTTGAATACAATGAAGTCTGAGCTAGGCGGAATATATCATATTATTTCCTATCTAGCTTGTAACACGAGCTTTGATTGGTTACAAAGTCGGGTGTAAATATCCGTGCACCCGACTTGAGCCGGGTGTAAATAAAACGTGACGTCACAATGCATACATTCTCTATGATAAAAGCTAAAAATCATGTTTACAAAGCATTTTTATGGGTACAAAGGAAATAAATTCGTTATCCAGGTCCAATCAAGGGTGTACGGTTATTTACGGGTTGTATTCCATACACCCTTCGGCCTTCGGCCTCAGGGTGTATGGAATACAACCCGGGGTACATTCCCGTACACCTTTGATTGAACCTGGATAACTAATATTGTACATGTGTATTTCCTGCAATAAGACCTTTCCTTGAGTATCAATTTTGACACTTTGACCTTGACCTTAGAGTTTCATGATCACCTACTTTTGAAAACTTTTAACCTCAGCCATATCTCTGCAACAGTTGACTATGCTAATTTAAGGTTTTCATATTTTACAGGTATATTCCCTGTTACAAGACCATTCTTTTGGTGCCAACCTTTTTGATCTCTTGACCTTGGAATTTGCCTTGCATGCATAGAGAAACTTAAGCTTTCACCATGAGGTGTCATGCAGGAACATCAGTGTTTCAAAAACACACGTACATTTTCTTTATTTTTTTTTTCAAAAGACTTTATAAACAATTCATCCATTTTTTTAAACAAGATTTTCCATTCTTGCAACACAATACTCTAGAGGATGACACAACTCAAGAAAGTGACAAAAACCTCTGTATTATTATCATAATCAGAGCTAATTAAGGACAATACTCCAAAGGTTAACTCCAAACATCTTTTCTACTGAAGGGTTAATTATACTGAGCTAAATAGGATATGATGATGTGACATTTATTTTCTTTGACCTCAGTGCCAAATAACCACATGGGTCATCATGTTTTGTATCAGTATGGCCAAACAGCTTTTGTTCTTCTCATGAAATCCCCTATATATACTTAAGTCATCAGGAGGAAGATATGGACAACCAGAGACATGTTTTCTGACAGGAATTTAAACCTGTTGACTTGTTAGCATGGTGTACTTTTTAATGCAATTTGGAAAAATGTTTTATTAATTAATCAGTTAAACATTCAAATTTGGCAAAACACAAATTCTTAAGAAATAGTTGCAAGGAGATGAACGTGCTCTATAGAAATCACCATGCATTAAAAATTCTGACAAAACAAAATGAATCTGATGTCATTTTCCGTATGACTTTTACCACCTCACTGAACATGGTTTGACTAGATCGTCATTTTCCTGGGCACTGATCAGGATAATTTCTCAATCATTTCTCAGCTCTTTTATTATATTCAACAGAAAACAATATAGATGCCTAGATGTCTACATTTCATCTTAATTTACCTGTAATATATAACATCAAACATCTTAATTCTAATTGATGGTTATCAAATATAAAGAAGTGGAGTATGTTGAATAAAGTTTTGTGTGAATATTATTAGATATCTCTCACGTTTAAACTGTTTATTTATAACATAAACTTGAAATATGCATTTACTTACTGAATGCACTTAAAGTGCGGTAGGATTTATTATACCACAAATTGTCATGTGTTTATTGCATCAGTAAGAACCCACACAAAATCTGAGAATAAATTTGCCTAACCCAGCTGATATACAGATTTGAAAAACAATTTTGTTTTTCTTAAAATCATTTTTAAATTAAAAGGATAAAATTTTTGTCTATAATTATTAATATCCAAAGACTAGGTTATAAATGTGCTTCACTTCAAGCAAATAACAGTTTATGAAATTTCATTTAATAAGTATAATTATGCAAAGTTTACATATAGTTTAAAACTACCTCATAACTGATCTTTATTTATAAATTATCAAATTTAATATTTTCTTTTAATTTACAAGTGTCATTGATAAGCAACAAGTAGATCAAGTGTTTCAACACCCCAGGATCTGCCACTTGTGAATTGTCTATAAGTATATTTTTAATTTTAAAACTTGATTTAAAAAAAAAAAATCTCACCTGGTGAATTTGTACAGGTGATTGGGTCCCCGTCCCACCACTGAGGGTAAACCCCCATGGGGCACCACCTTTTAGAACCACCTGAATAGTTTTTGAGACTCCAGATCTGTTTGTTGTAGATTTTATAACTTCCTCTTCACTTGAGAATACATCCTCGTCTGCTTCAGAAGAGATAGCAGACATTTTAATTCTGTGACATGAAATGACATTACATCGACACTCTCCCCGAATTTGTTTGGGTTCATTCGGAACATGTGACTTACAGGAGACGCTATATTTATAAGCATCCGCCTTTACCTGTGCGCTGTCAATATGCACACCTTGATTAAAATCTATTTCAGTAAAGTTCCCCGCCAAATTTTAAAAACCGAACAACTTTTTTTAGGTCCGTAGACGGAGGGGGGGGGGGGGGATTTAAGGGGACCGCCCTCTTCTTTTTAAATATGGGTATGGTATTTTTCCTTTGGATGCCTCCTTTTTTAATTTCTGTAAGCTTGAAATGAATAATGGGGGTTTTAATCATTCTCATTAGAAAAATCAAATATTCAATTTCTTTATTGATTCACCAAACATGTTGACATACAACCATGTTACATACAAAAGACAAATGATAAAAATACATACATACATGCAAGTGTATGGATCAGTGAAGTCAACTATGCAGTGTTTTACAACTTGAAGATTAAACATAATCAATATGCTTGCAGTATAGCATGGACAGTGATATAATCCTCAAACATTTTTATACCCCCCGTAAACGAAGTTTCGGGATATACATATAGAGTTTTTGTCGCGTCCGTCTAGATGTCTAGCTGTCTGTCGCTCTGTCTGCCTGTTTGTCCGTAAAAACTTTAACCTTGCCCATAACTTTTAATTTAGTGGAGTTATGACTTTCATATTTCACATGTTATTCCTTGTGACAAGCACAGGTGCTTGGGGACAGGACCCCCACCCCCCACCCCATCCCGTGTTCCGTACCCCAAGGATTCTTTTACTTTTTTTTAATAAAATATTTTTCTATGATATATTTTCAAAGTATTACAACTGAAAAATCCAAAATTTAAGCTAAAACTAGCCCTTTATAAAAATTCACCCTCACTGATACTAAAACAGAACTATCAGTGAAATTAACCTTGACCATAGCTTTTGAACAGTAAGGGCTGGTGCTTTATACTTCACATATGTAATCCTTGTGAGAAGATCCTTCATTGGATACCAAGAACTTTGACCCTTCGACTTTGACCTTGGAGTTTGATCTACTTTTAAAAAGCACACATTGACCATAACTTTTACAGGGTTGGGCCTAGTGTTTCATACTTTACATATTCAATCCTAGTGACAAGACCTTTCATTTCATATCAAGAACCTTGACCTTGGAGTTTGACCTACTTTTTAACAAAATTAACCTGTCAGACCATAATTTTTGAACGGTTAGGGCTTCCATACTTGGCATATATATATATTTTGTGGCAAGACCTTTCATTGGATACCAATTACCTTGATCTTGGAGATTTCCGAACTTATGAAAAAACCTAAACCTTGGCCTATTTCATATTTCACAATTGAATTTCCAGTTAGAATACCCTACTTTACCAATATACCAATATATTAGATTTGCATCTAAGAAAAGTTTAATCTTCGCTATGTTCCCATACGGGGCATCAGTGTTTCACAAACACATCTTTTTCTTTTTAGTATTTGGTAATCTACGAAAATTGTCATTTCTTTTATTACAATATCTATACATGTAATAAGATGTGAATAGTTTTTGGTCATGTTCGTCTGTATGTCTGTCTGTCTGTCTGTTTGTCCTTAAAAACGTTAATCATGCTGATAATGTTAATAGCGAGCGCAGCGAGCGTCGCGAAGCGAGCTCAATAGACTAACGTGTAAGAAAGAGGCAAATGTATACGTCAGCCAAATTTCTCTATGCAACATTCCCAGAATTCCTGCACTATCCAATGTCCTTTGCGCAAATAAATATATAAATAAATAATAACGTAAAGCATAAAGGCTAGATCAGTTTGTAGAAATCTTTCAAAGAAACAAAAAATAACTCTACAAAGTTTTTCAGCCAAAATTGCACTAGGTCTATACAGAACTTTTTTTTTAGTTTGTGTGGAACCCCCCCCCCCCTCCCCCGAAAAGATTCTGTATTCGTATATTCAGTGTTTGTATTTATTAGATCTTTGTCGGCAAGACTCTAGTATGTCAGCTGATAGGAAGCGGAGATTAAGGAACTTTTCTTATGCTCAAATATTTGCAACAGCTGACAAACTTGTGTCAAAATTCTAATAGTTTATCACCGACCCCATGTTTGAGAAAAAAAAGACAAAGCTGAATATTGTGCTTGGAAGGTGGCTAAACCATCGTACTGATTTAAAAAAAACAACAATTATTGTTTTATTATACATGTATGAATAAGTGATTAAATACAACTACTCATTAAGCAGTTCATGCCATCTTAATTTACATTTGCTGGAATATTTGTCAAAAGCAATGATAGGAGCCGGGTTAAATAAATAATACTATAGCAGTATAAATTGGGTTTTTTTGTAAAAAGTACTTTAGTAGCTATACCAAAAAAAAAAACAACAAAAAACGAAAAATGTCACGCTCTTTTATAGGATAAGTTTTGGAGGGGGGGGGGCATTATCAAAGAAAAATGACAGCTAAAAACCTTTGACTGGCAACAAGGAAAAGACAATTTTAACTTCAATTTTTGTTTTGGTCCTCCCCATCACTGGCAACCACTTTCATACATTCGATTACTAATTTTATGTTCACCTGAGTGCAAGTTAGGAGCAAATAAAACACCTTTCCGAAACTATTTGTTTCAATTAGGAATTTCCCGATCTATTTTTAGACCATTGTAGCATGTGTAGGGAAAAAAATTCTTATATTCACCTGGAGGGTCAGTTGTTGCAAATATTTGAGCATAACAAAAATTCTTGATCTCTTTCCCGTATTAAAAGACATGCTAGTGCCGAAGATTTTATTATTAATACCAATATGCAGATTAAGGAACTTTTTCGGGATGGAAAGGGGGGGGGCACACAAACTCCAAAGGATTTTCTGACTCCAAACTATTTTGACGAGCAATAAAGTAAACAGCCAACCTAAAAAGAACTTTTTTCGTGAGTGTGTATGTGTATTTATGTTTTTATTTATTTATTTATTTTTTTTTTGGGGGGGGGGGGGGGGGGATGTCGTTTAACTTAAAATAGAAATATCATAAAATAAACACTATCTCCGGACTTCGGTCCCCCTCTCTCTACAATATAGATCTGCACAAGTGAACACCGGTAAATTTCTACATAAAATTTAATAAAGGTCAAAATTTAAAATTCATGTTGGAAGCTTTTGTTGAGGAATAGACCAGCATTTTCAACTTATAATTTTTGTTTGGATACAAGCAAACCAAGGGGATCAAGTATGTGGATGAGTATTACAAAGATGAGTTTTACAGGTTATTGTTTATATACTATCTAACAGCAGTCATTTAAATGGAAACATCAAGATATGAATGCTCGATATTTCAATTTGAAAGTAACTTATTGTGTGTCCCATATCCGTTTTAGTGTTGGTGTGCCCTACATCATTTCTTAAAACAAAATGATTTATACTTTTTTCTTGGTTAATCAAAGCATAATAAATTATTAAACAAATCTGGATTTTTTAAAATATTAGTTCTAGTGTAAACGCGGAAGAATAAAATGTCTAGTTCATCTGGACATGCGAATAATAGGTCGAATTTTAAAAAATGTGTGCCCCACATCCCGGGTTTTTCTCACTTGTTTTCAAACTGTGTCGAAGTGTTTGGAGCAATAAGATTCTATCAGGAATAAACGTACAATATATATTGTAGTTAACGTTCTTTGGCATACTTTAGGCAGGATACTGATTTAATAGCCATTCTTTATAAGTGCAAAAATATCAATTTCTTACATCGAAGCGGAGCATTTGTCCTCCATTTTTGTGTGTCCTAATCCCGTACGATGACGTAGATTCCCCGCCGTGCTGTAGTTTCAAACAGACGCTCGGCTGTCTCCATAAGCTCCGACGAGCTCCGTGACGTCGTGTGACGTCACAGCTAGTCGAGATGTCTCGTGCGGCTTGATGTTTGAAGTGGCTGATCAATTTCTAGAGTGTTTTTCATGGTACAACTGCGCTCGCCCCAACGGTCACACCGTAAATATATTAGCGAGCGCAGCGAGGCGGCGCGAAACGCCGCTCGCGTGGCAAGCTCAATAGACTAACGTGTATAACATAGGAAATTCAGGTTGAAATCTGCACATTGATTTGAAATTTTTATGAGTCCACGTGAAAAAATTCCAAACTCCCAATAATCCTTTGCGGTGCATAGCAACACGATGGCAAAAACATAGCAACAACTTACTTGAAAAAAAATTACAAACAACGATTTAATTAAGGAATCACTGTCTAGTTTTGAGAGTATGCCAGGGCATCAACAATAGTGGGAAACATGGGATAATTTGCATAACGGGCACCGTTATGCTAAAATTATTCCATGTTTTCCATTATTGTTGATGTCCCTGGCATACTCTCATAACTAGACAGTGATTCCTTATATTTCCATTTCATTGTGGAATAAAATTGTAGACTTAGACATTAAATTATAGACTAATGTATTTAAATTACTCGAGGACTTCCATGCCAATTTCAATAGTCCTCGCACACTGACGTCAAACACAAAGGCAGCCGCACGAGATTTACATGCATAGTTGGCCTCCTTAGCGTCAGACACAGAGACAGATGCGCACGAGATTTGCATACGTATTAGCCTATTAGGCCTCCTTAGCTGCTGACCTATCGACCTACCTAATTTACATTTTGGCAGGATTATCAAGAAATAAATCCCCCCAACTTTCAAACAGTTATCACAGAGAAAAAAAAAATTAGAAATGGAAATATTGCAATCACCATGCCATAAAAATATTCGTTTGCGTCTTATCTGACGTCATACTTTCGTCACTTTAACAGTTCGGGCATTTCCGATTTTGTCGGGAACTTCCGAGAAGTTCAGAATCTCGATCCCGATGCTTGGGAAGTGATTTCTTTTTATTGTTTTCTTTTTTCTTTCTTTTTCTTGAATAATAGGCAGAACATGTTTAGGTTTATGATAGTACGTAACTGCGCTCGCCCCAACGGTCACACCGTAAAACATATTTAAAAAAAATGTTTATGTATCTAGATAGAACTTTTA